AAAACTAATCCCCTCTCATGTGGTCAATCCCTGATGATTTTGCCAGAAATAGGCTGAATACATTCTATAATCACGGCCTATTGATAGCCTCAAAAGCCTACTTGTTGTGGCAACTTTTATTTTGTATACAATTGTGTGCAGATGGCGCTGCTCGACAGCAATGTGGGATTCTATTTTGACCTTGAGTTTGGTACAGTCCATGCATGCGTTGGATTCATTTTCTCCATCAGACTAACTTTCACCATCAACCAATTGTCTTCTCCCGACGAGCCTGGACTGACGTGACGCCCCGTTCTGGTTGCTCAGGCTTTCGACTGACTGCTTCTTTGATTGAAAGGAACACAAAAACACGCATTAACACACAAAATGACAAGACGGCCAATATTCAAAAAGGGTTGGTTTCCGAGACTGACAATAAACCTTGAATGTCAGCTGCATATGGCGATGTGGAATTTTCCCAAAATGATGTGAATTGGCCCAGCGTTTATCAAATTTTGCGCAGACTTTCTTCCTAACCGGTGCTTTCATACAAGAACACCTATTCAATATTTCCTAATTTACTCGAAGACCTACTTATAGGGAATTTAAGTAGGATAGTGTGGTGTGGCTTTTGAGTTTAGTCGCAGTCTCCTTTAGCTTTATAGTATTTTTAACTTTGATAAGGATACGAAGCCGGCGAAACGTTTGATAATGTACCAAGTCATTGGTTTAAGGCTGGAAATCACGAATACTTTTGGCAGAAGACACGGGACTTGGTACATTCCACAAGGTCTCCCTGACACTCCGGCCAAGATGTGAAAACCAGCTTTAACCGACACTATTAGTAGGCTTGTTTCATCCACCCTTCCGCCTGACAATGTCGTATGAAAGAGGCCTGGCTTGCTCGGAAATCCATTTCTGCCCTATGACCGTGTAGCGCAGTGACAAAATGTCAAGACTATGCGCTACTTTAGTCAATCTCGAGTCCCGTTCGGAGAGTGGGCCAGGCCAGGATGAGAGTAACTTGAAAGAAAGTAAGGTTATATGCTATTTTAAATGAAAAAAAGTCTGACCTAATTGTGTGATTGTGTAAAAATGTAATTATTCTTCCTTCCTCATCTTGTCAAGCCGAGGCTGACTAGAAGGCTCAATCTTCCCATTAACTCTTTCTATCGGAATCACTGACTATGCTACTCAGAAACCAAGAGTAGTCTTCGAATCAACCGGTAAATTCTAATCAAGAACTTTCAATTCAGGCTGAATAAAATTATTATTCAAGAAGTATTGAATTATTCCACAACAGACTCACACCAAAAACAGTTTGGGCCACTTTGGCACCGATCCAGTCTGTGCCTGAAAAGCACATCTTGACAATTTACCATATTTCGCGACAGATATTGAAGGAATGCTATTTGATTTTTCCCACATTCATATGAGTAAAGCTGATGTTTTCCCTTGAATTTCGCATAGCCTTGCTTTGTGATAACTGGTAGTCTGGAAAACCTAATAACTTGCGAAAAAAGTAATGTCATCCGTTGCTATGGCAAAAATACGTTTGCTTCATCGATATGCGTGAGCCAAAGGCACTCGTGGCAATGTGGCCGAGTGGTTGACGTGGCAAGCTCACATTCTGTACTGTCACGGTTCGAGTCCCGCTGGGGGCGCTGATGAGACCAGTCGTGGCGAGATGGAAACTGCAGTCCACCTCAGCCTGGATGAGAGCACCTTTTGGGAAAGAAGGGAAAAATGAACGACCAGTTCTTCATTGGATGAATGCATCTTCTCCTCAAATGAACCTGATTTGTTTGCCAATTTATTGCATGATTTAATGTTTGATTTCATTTAACCCCTGAACCCTCGTTTCCATGTCATCAGCATCCTCAGCGAGATCGGAGCCAGGCTTGTGAGTTCACGGCGGACATCAGCCAAATGGCAATTTTCTTCAATAGTGGGATGCTTTTTTAAATGCAATCGGCTACACTACTTACTTTCGCTATAAGTAGTTCTAGCGATTCTGGGTAATTCTTGCTTAAAAACTGTTCGGTCCAGACTGCATCATTCTGCCCGTTGCCGAACGCCGGCCGCCCGGCCTGGCCTGACGCAGATGTGTACCGATAATGCACCCGTAGGCGGTTCCACTAAAAATGCAATCAACACAATCACGTCACGCTACTACTATGAGTAGGCGAAGCAGAAGTAGTGTGAGCTTCGCTTTAATCTGATTGGTCAACAGCTGGACCAATAGCAGCACGACGGCTCTCGAGAGCCTGTCACACGACGCTTCTGCTCACGGCACACTTTCACTCATCCTCCACACGATCGTGGCTGCAGCCTGGCGTTGTGATTGCTTCCTATTGCGACTAATTTGCCAACTGTACCGCCACTCGACGCCACACCACCCTGAAATTAGACAGTGCTTGCATGTCGTCCATGTGCCCTTTTGCTGATTGTGTCAACTCGCGAGGATTTGTCCCGGCCATTCGACTGGGAAACTAGGCGCTCTTCGCGGATCAACGCTGGCCTCGGGTCAAAGTGGACCGGCGGTCGAGAGTGAGTCTTGCTTGACTTTTATTTTATGCCCCTTTTTGCGAATCTCCAACCTGCACCGGTTGGCGCGGCAACTCTCGCTCCGAGGTGAGGTGAAGTGGTGAAGAGACAATGATTGAATCCGTTGCACAATCGCACGAGTCGGGCTCCATTCGAGTTCAGCCAGTCTCATCGTCCAAAAGACATTCTCGACTGGTCCAATCAACTGGGCCAAGCGCGATTCGAGCTCCACTTTCCGTCCTGCCACGACACAGACGTCACGTTCAACCGCGTCACCGCCAATTACTGCATTCTTTTATGGGCTGCACTACTCATATTCGTGACGAGTAGTAGGCTCAAGAGTTTATAATTTATGTCTGCTCCGTCACGCCGGCTGGCATTCGAGGCGGCGTTGCGAGGCGACAACATGTCGGCTCCGAGGGCCGAGTGGAGACGGCAGTTGTGTCGAG